GCAAGAAGCAATGTCCTGTGTATGTACTGGGCTCAGGCAGTTTCAAAAAAGTGGCTTTTTTTTGTGAATTTTGCTGAATGTGTTTTTTCCGATTGGTTGTACTGTACATTTATTTTTCTTGTAACAAATGAATAAGCGATTGTGATGAGTGTGGGTAGGTCTAAGGGTAATATATTTATTGTATAATGTAAGTAGGTTCAATCCATCAACTGTTTTGTTTGTAATTAATTGTAAACGTCCTTGTTATATTATTTTTTGTTTCTGGAACTATAACAATCAATACATCTCCTCTATTATCTATTTCATATTTCATATTCAGCAATTCATTTCTGCGACAAGCTCTGTATAACCCTATTATAAGAGAAATCTACAATTTAACGTTAGTAAAAAACAAAGAAATTAGTTTATATGTATTAATCTATTTGTTTACCTTTATCATAAGATATTCAGAATCATATGCTTCCTTAAAAAACTTAATTCATTGTTCTTGAGTCAAGGTTTTGGATTTTTTGGGCAGGTAATTCACAGAATTCTGTTTTAAAACTGCTCGAACTTTATGGAAATTACCAAAATTAATATTTTATTTGACTTTAAAAGTGCTTTTCAACATTAAAAATTCGGACCATAGTGTACCTGCATTTACAATCTTTGATCTTTTAGAAAGATAAGCAAATACTACATTTTCAGTTAGGTTTTTTGCTTTTTTCCTCTTTTTCCAGTTTTTAAACAATTCATAATACTTTTCGTACCGTTCTCTTGACTTAGTAGGTAGTAAATTTAGAGAAACATTGTTGGCTCCCTCTTGTAGGTTTTGTGGAGTATTTGTAAATTCTTCGTCACTGTCTGAATGACTATTAATGTTCACTAATAGACTTACAATAACTTTTAATCAAAATTTATGTGAAACGTCAAAGTACGCAAGTGACAGTCAAAGGTATCTAGATATCTAGTGAAAAACTACAAAATCGGGCTGTTATGAGTTTAGCAGCCCATGGGACGATATACGTTACTTTCGGTCATATTTATAGGGTTAATATGATTCATTTTCACATATGGTAGGCGAAAAACATATAAGGCCCATACATTTTGAAGAATGTTGTTGCAACCGGCTGTTAGGTAGAGAATGCTCTTCTCCATCAGATCGTATTTTATATGAGGTCTATCTAAAAAATACGTTCGAAATATGTTTGTTTGGATTAAAACCCAAATATCGTGCCCCAAAAAACCAAACCACTTTCTTCTACTGCAAAAGCATATAGTCTGAATAAAAAAGGAGTGCAGTAAAAGTGGGATATAACGTCACATTCCATAGGTTTCTATAAGTAAAGTCACGGAATATTATTTCATAAATTAGGAAAGGTCATAAACTATTTTTAAATTCGTTATTTTATCTTAATCTTAAAATTTGTAAATTTTTGTTAGTGGGTCGTAGAAAAAATATACTGTAATCAAATGGATTGTATGTGTGGCCGCCGTCGTGCTCAAACTTCTTCTTCGTGCGATATGGCCATCATATCCACTCTTGTTGCACAAACTACTATTCTTCAAGTGCTACAGATTTTTTAAACGGCCAGGTTTGAATGAAACGCTTATTACTTAATAAGTAACGAATATAAAAAAAAGTATTGAATTAAAAAATATTGGGAAGTGCTGGGAGGCTGAATATTTGAGATTATATATTTTATGAGAAATCCAAAAAATATATATAAAAAAGTCCTGAAACTTAAAAAAATCTCAACGACAATGCCCCCTACCGGGTCCAACTAGAGCTAAGAATCATCCAAAAATACAATTTTTTTTATCATAATCAATCAATTCTATATAGGTATAAAGAATAAAAAAATATTGAGAGGTGCTGAAAGGCTGAAAATTTTTATATGAGAAATACAAAAAAAATATAAAAAAAAATGGTCTAAAAACAAATTTCTAGATCTCGACAACAGCGCCACCTACCGAGTCAAACTATAGCAGAGAACCATCCAGGTGATCCCATAAGTATAAAAAAGACTGAATTAGTAGGTCTTTTAACTACAGTATTTGGTAATTGTTTTTCAAAATTTTGTACATTGGCTTTTCCAGTTGGTTGCATCTATTTCCAACTTGGACTACTACTCTTCTTTTCTTTTGGTAGTCCATATTTTTCATAAACTTTTATCAACTCTTTTTGACTGTTATTTTTTTCTCCATTATCCTTTTAGGTTATTTTCCTTTTTCCTCTCGGGAGTCTTTTTTGTATTTCCATTTAGTACATCCGTTTCATTATGGTTTTATAAATTCTTAGCTTAGTTTTTCTTGATAACTCATTAACTAATAATTATTCATGTCTGATCTACTAGTTTTGCTCACAGCCTTGCTTCTATTTCATTGCTTCCTTTATATTATTTGTTGGTAATCCTTGCTCTACATAACTTATATTTCTTGTAAATAATTGATTAAGATGTTATTTGCACTTTTATTAATAGCTTCATAGATAAAAATGAAATCAGTCCTGTGTTTATATTACACTAACTACCCATGTTGCGTTCTATTTAAACATCACCCCCCAAGGAAGTAGTCGAATGTTCACAAACAGACAGATGTTTATAAATGTAAACGAGGAAGGTTAAAAATGAGCGGAATATGTACATGTACATATTATATGAAATTTTATTTAAATTTGGTGGATAATTCAGCTTTACTATAATTTGGTGGATAGCCAAATTTTATTGAAATTTGGCGGATCCCCAAAAGTATGCTCATTAATTGTTTTTTACAGACTTTATTTCCCTTGTTCGTTGTAATTATCATCAAATTCTTGAATTCAAATTATTATTGTTCAAAAATTAAATACAGCACAAATACTACTCTTTAGATTTTGGCAGTGGGCAGTAGGTCATTATTTAGAAAGATTACAATTTTCAAGGTCACAAAGATATGTTTTGTAACATTTTCTGATAATTCGGATTATAAAACGTAAATATTTTTGAATGGAAATTATGTGCTTGTATTTAATATTCATGAAAGGAATTAATAAGTAAATAAGAGACATATTTATACATATATTTACATTATATTTTTTAAAAGTAGTTGCTTATTTTCAATACGTATAAATCAAAATATACAACATACAATGAAAAGAAAAGAAATTTAGGAGGCACCATTGTTAAAACTTAATCTCTAAATTAAAGTCATAATTTGAGAAACAGTAAAAAACTTTTAGCTATATACTATATGGTGTTGACTTTAGATTACATTATGGTGTCTGTTTTTGGGCTAATACCACAATTAACTAACTCTTCTGTTTTCACAGTGCAAACAAAGATTATTCGCTACATTAATAATTTTTTGTGCGTCTATATTCATATAAATCTATAGAAATTTGTCTACAATAATGATTGTCACAGTTACCAACGAGCCAAAACCACCTTCTTCATTTATCCCTAACCAGAAAACAGAAAAAAAAAAAATAACCCCTACTTCAACTTATAAAAGCAAATTAGACAATTTGAAATTCATTTTAAAAACTGCTAATCTCGAAAGTTTTTATACACTTGATGAATTGTTTGCATTATAAAGACAATATCTTTATATTTTTAAAAACGTCATATTGTTTTTCTTTTGCTTATTCCAAACAATTAATAGATATTGTTTTTTAAAAATGTAAATATAGATAAATAAATTTGTTTATTACTAAGACGCGAAAAGTAAGATAAATTAAATTAATGAAGTGCTTTTTTAAAATAGGACGAAAAGTTTTTCTGGCCAAGGAGTTGTAGAAGTCCAAGAAAACACTTTTTGTCATTATTTCATACATTATTTTTATTCAAATGTGCTTATAGATATTAAAAAAATATAAAAAATTAAATCTAAAATAATATTTCCAATTTTTCTTATAACTGAGATGGCTGTGATCAATTGCTGCCATGTCAGTATGCTTATGTAAAATCAATTTAACTATAGTTTATTTAGTTTTTCTCTTATTAAATTAAAAATGCTTGCATTCAAATTTGATATGTATGAGTATTAAGTATTACTATTTTACAATACAAAAAAATAGCGAGCAATATTATTAACAAATAAATTGAAAATAAAAAAGAATGTACCTATAGAAATATGAACCGCTTGAATTTTTCAGCCTTGTTCGTAAAACTTTTTTTGCAGCAGTTCATTTGAAATAAGATTAAGTTTTCTGTCCGGAAAACGACTTTTTTTTGACACATTTGAATAAAAACGTTTTTATAAATTTCATGCTTATTTTATACTACATTGAAATTGTTTCATTGATTATATTCAAAGACAACTATGTCAAATAACCGTGAAAAATTTCACACGTCTGTATTTGAATACCAATCAATTGCTTGAAATGCGATGATTAGAATGATTTTCTTTTAAACAAGAACGTTAATTTTAAAGAACTCTTTTGAAATCGAACTTTTGTTAAATTTATTAGGAGAAATTTATCAGAAATTATGAAACTCGAATAAAATCGAACATATGCATATTTAGACTGGTTTATAGTTTGGAATTATTAGATCTTTGAAGTTAATGCTTTTTAGGTTTGAATTCATATGGAATTGTAGGAAGAGTATTATTATTATTATTATTATTATTTTATTATTGTTTGAAAACTGTCAATTTTAATAAAAATAAAGATGTTATGAATATTGTATGTTATTCTCTTCACATAGATAGTATTGTTGACAAACCGATTAACAAAAAGACTGAAAGATTTATAAACAAATATTTTTTTCTCGAAAATTGATAAGAGCGTTTTTAAATTTGAATTTTCGAATTGGAATAAAGAAATAAGACAAACAAAAAAATATTTAATTGTAGTCAATAGACGTATATATTCTGCTATAAAAGTTGTTACAATATTTAGAAAGGAATTACTGATATAAAACATTAACGTAATAATATGTGTGGCAATATTTAGGCACCTCGCATCCACCAAAATAAAAAAAAATAAGAGGAACACTGAAAATGTCAGGAAAGCTCGAATAAAGAAAGAATATACTTACTGCAGGAGGTCAACGTTTCATTACCATGGGCTTTTAAGAAAAATCACTTATTCGTATAAAATTCGATCTTAATTTATCACAACCCGACGGAGATCACAGAAATTATTTTAACCATGTTTCGATTCAACAAAAAACTAACAGTCCATTGCCAAAACCTTTGAAATATGTGAAAGAAACAGAGGGCACATGCACTAGCTCACAGCTGTGTGCTGTCAGTGCAATTTTACTTGTGTACGACAGATTGACTGAAGTGAGACCTCGCGCATAGCCCACAACACATTCTTCAACAATACGATTGACAAAAATAACAAGAACCGAAAGGGGCAAGCAAAAACGTTGAAGTCGACGTAGAAACCTGCGTTTTAACGAATTATCGTAGAATTCTATAAGCGCTGTCTGTACTTTATACAGACAACGCTATAAAATTTATAAGAATAGGATCAGCGATATCTGTTGAGAACCGCAGGAATCACAGTGCAACGGAACGATAAAAATCAATAATGGTATAGTACTAGTCAGAGATAATTTTTCTTTTTTCACAATTGAGCACCTAGCATGCAGGTCCTGTATCAGAAACACCAACAATACCATTTAAGCAAAAGGAAAAATATAGTTACATCAGAACTATCATCTTCACTAGACGTTTTATTCAGGTTTATAATGCAAGAATGATCCGATCAATACATTAAATGGCCAACATGGCCAAAACCTTTTATTTTTCTAATTTCCACTCGAGGGTTACATATGGTATACTGTTATGGGAAACAAGCACATATGTTCTCCTAATAATGAAAAAAAAAAAAAAAAGAGTTTTGCTGAATGTTTTAGAACACATTTTAAATCCCTAAATATACTTATAATTCCTGCATTACCACTGGCGTAGCCAGCCTTGCAAGGCAAACATTTAAAGGGGCACTTTTTTAGAACCACTATTAATAATATTAAAAATACGGTATTTTGTATTATAAAATGTATTAAAAAAAATCAAACAAAAATAGGAATAATCGAGTCAAGACAGATCATAATATTCTAAATAATAAACAAAAATAAATAGAATTTATAACATTCAAAAAAATACGGACAAAAACACTGTCACTTTCGTCGACACATTATAAGTTTTAATATTTCTATTAATCTATTGAAAGATCTTTCGCCTGTTGCAGTATTTATAGCATTTGTTGAAAAAATTTTGCATAAATTAGGAAAAATTGATTCCAATTTTTTGGAAATTAAGAAAGGGTATATTTCTTAAGTTTTTTACTTATATTCCTTATTTATATCTTTTAATAGACCACAATAAGATTTGTATTCGTTAACTATTTTCGGTTGGATAGAAGATTTATAAAAAATACAAATGCATTTCCAATCTAGGTAGGGTGGCTTTGTTTTATTTTCATTTGCATTTCGGTATCGGTAGCAGTTTTCTAAAGTTACATTTGACTCTCATTTGTACTTGAAATTTCACTAGATGAGATGCTTTCCATAACCTCTATTATAGCGGGGAAGTTGTCAAATATCAAATTAACATCTTTAGTGTGACTTGCCCAACGAGTCGTTGACAGTTTTTTTAGACTTAATTTTCTGTCATAATTTTCTTAAATGTCTTGAATAGGCAAATGTAAACAAAAAATAGTTTTTGGCATCGGCAATCGGTAACACAATAAACTCTTGCCAACCTGACTCAAACGTCGCCACTGTCGCGTCACGCATTGTTTTTGAAGATATTATTCGTTATGATTTACGACCTCATTAAATAAAAATAGTTATTTTACTTTAACTTTGGACTAAATAAACAACATTTTCTTTTAAAATATTATTTGAGACATTTCAAACAAATACGGTGTTTGTTTTTTAAAAATATCTTTCGAAATATTTTACAATTTCAATAAATGTTAATGTTTATTGTGTATATAGGCACCAAGCGCCAATCGGCAAGAGGCGCCTAGCAAGGGGGGCAAAGGTGGCAAGCGCCCCCTGGCCCCTATGCCACTGTGAATTACATACATATATTTTTAAAAGTGCATTACATTTTTTTAAATTTTGAAGAGTTTAAATCTACTACAGCTTATGGTACAAGGCATAAGATTAAATTCAACTTTCCATATCACAAACTAACGAGGAGCGTTATATTCATGAATACAATTTTATAACCATCTGTCTGTAGACATTAAATCTGGAACATTAAAACCAATTAACAAATGTAATAACTATTCTGTCTAATTTAGAACTTTATTCTACCTCTAATTTCTTCCTGATTTTGTTCAAAATGTTTAACCACTTCTGAATACAGGGTGTTTGTATATTCGACGGATAACTCTCTACCCCAAAGAGCTCTCGTTATTTGATCTCTGTGATTATATGCCTGAATAGTTCATCGCAATACCTTTCTAATGATGTGTCACACATTGTATATTCCCTATTTAAAATTTTGTTTTGAGTGACTCACCCTATAAATAAATAATAATACTAATGATAGTTATGAAAAAAGAAAAATTATCTTTGACGAGGACTGTAACTGCTGAGGCTCAGGTCAGCTCGCACCTACATATGATTCATTACAATGCCCCCGAGTCCTAAAGTTGTTCCATCAAACTTCCATCCATTTGTCACTTGGGCTACAAGTCACTAGACAACTATTCTGTTCAGAGGCGTCTTCTAAAACTTTCTAATTGAATATTTGTAGGTGAATTAAATGTCAAAAAATATACATCCAATCTTTAATACGTTAAAAATATACTAATTATGAGAATTTTTAACTAGAATTCAGCCATAGTTGTCAGGGATGGAATAAGTCAAGTTAATAATTATATCTTAAAAATATTGTATATTTTCTATTAGGCAATTAAATATATAAAATGAAGAGTGATAGGAATACACCAGTGTGAAAGAATTAATTTTTACACACTGATGTATTCCTACCTCTACCACTTTTCACCTCATGTTTAGTGTGTCTAGTCTTATTATTAAATAAATATTAAATACTTGTACTTTTATTATTTTAGGTTATTAAGACAAAATAACTAATTTTAAAATAATTTATGACTACTAATTTATGAAATAAAATAAACATAAAAAAGATTTAAAATAAATTTAATTAGTCTCCAGTCCAGATTTGAACCCGGGCCTCTCGCATGGCAGCCAAACGCCCTGGTCTCACTACCATGGAGACACCATTTTAGTTTTATTACTCGTAATTAAATTAATTTCATATAGTTGGATTAAAATTTATGATTTATTTGTTATTATTTGTCGATTCTACACAAGAATAACTCATGTTTACGTATATTTAATCTCAATAACTAAAAAATATACTGACAATTATTTTGACAGAATTTCCACATCAAAAAATTTAAAAAATAATTGTAGCCGGTGACCAAAATATGAACTAGGTAGAATAGATATGAAATATATTCGTTCAGTTGAACGCAATATCCATGTGGGCGTAGAAAAAACCTGAACAAAAAGAATGTACGTCCATGGTCGAGAATGTCAATCGTTATTCGATTATTTTTTGTTTTTGGTCGATTTTTTTTAAATTAATTGTATTATTGTGTTTGAACTGATTTTATGCCCTTAACTTGTATTTTCTTAAAACAAAACTGTTAATAATTGAATATTTTTAGATAAAGCAAAACAACTTTTTAACTCTTAAATTCATCGTATCTCGCTTAGTTTTCGACATAAAACATAAAATTGGGACATTTTATTAAAACTAGATACAAATGAAAACAAATTTAAATAAATGTTAATCTAAAACGTACCTAGTAAAAATGTGAATAATCATATTCTATGCACATGCTATTTATCACGTAAAATAACCCTTTATATCTTATGGTACATCCTTTGCATGTACGAGTTATATAGAAATTACCCACTTAGTCATGTACTTTACAGCTTCTATAAATGTACAGAAGTAGATTCTATTCATATGCTAATAACATGCTTTAATATCACTTTCCAGATCGGTGGAAATCTTCTCCATTCATCAACGGTTTTTTTTTATGAAACGTGCTTTACATCTGACCGCATATTCTGTTGAATGCGTATATGAAATGCACTTGCTGTGAACATACTTTTTTATAATAATGTAATGTGAGCCATTTCATTATTCAGTCATGCTCTAATCCTCCAAGTCCCTCTCTATTTTATTTGGCCTTTGATGCTCAACTTGTCCGATTATCATACATAATTATATGAAATGCACTTGCTGTGAACATACTTTTTTTATAATAATGTAATGTGAGCCATTTCATTATTCAGTCATGCTCTAATCCTCCAAGTCCCTCTCTGTCTTATTTGGCATTTGAGGCTCAACTTGTCCGATTATCATACATAATTAAACCCCTTAAGATCAATCATGTGAGTATGGCGAAGGCGCTTTCGATTACTATTCGAGAAAGAACGAGATAATGTTTCTAGTTTTGGTGAAGAACATTCTAGTACCTTCGCCAAAGTTTTAAATTTGCTAAATATTGGTGGAGGAACAACGCGGCAGTCAGTTATAAAAGACAGTTAAGAATAAACTATTGGACTGTGAATATAAATAGTGAACAATTCAAAGACATTCAAAATATATATAAATTAGATTGTATTGTTTTAAAATATATAAGTGTTTAAATAAATTACTAATAAATAAACTGTTGTTTTAAAATAAACAAACATCACAATAATGTGCTGCTTATATGCGAATAATGTTCTGAAAAGTAGGTATTAATTATAAAAGTTTGTATAATCCTTGAGCTGAAACTTGATGGATTTCGTCTATAATAAGATTCCTCAGTATCCAAGATAATAAGCTAGACAAATAAGGGCTAATTTTAAAAATCAGTGAAAGTTGATGTTTGCCTGACCAGTTGAGGACCACGCCCATAGTGTACTGTAGCGTTTATTTATTTAAACAGTTTATTTATTTAATTTGTTTTTACTCAATAGTAGACTAATTTACTCAATCATTTATACGGAAAATATTAAATCTGCTCACAGTAAACGTGGCCTATTTACATACACATCGAATTGTTCGCTCATTCACCAGAACTTGCTACGACAGCGATGCCTTCGCCATTTATTAGACTGATGCGTTGTCTCTGAAAGCTTCATTATAATTCCAGTATATTCTAGATCAGTGTATCCACCAAATTATAGACTGGTGCTTCCGGTAAATTCTAGAATGTTACTAGTAGGCTGAATGGTTTCTTCGACTGTCGATTACAAAACATAGGCGCATCTATAGGGATGTTTCGAAGTTTAATTGTTCTATCTAATATTTTTGGT